AGACCAATTTAGCTATTTTGACAAAACAAAAAGTATCAGGTCATTGTTTTAAAGGGGCTGGACTTAGTCTCTTAATCAACCTATGGGTGTGTTTCCCATTCCCTTTAAAAGACAGTCACACTGGTACCATGGTGAATAGCTATTATGACAGCAAAATTACCTGGAGGGAGACAGGAGCAATTGTTCAAACAATCTGTCATTTACATTGTCCATTATCATGACCAAATAATTCTGATACATTATATAATCAACCATTTACATGTTTCAAAATTACTTGGTGTACAGGGTTTCTGTTTTAATTCTGAAAACATTTATTTTTAACCTGTAGCATTTTGGTGCGCTGCTGCGAGTCCCTGTCTTAGTAGCAAGTAACGTGTCTTCTGTGTGGAAAGTTATTAAGTGATTAACTCATTGAAGTCAAATGTTGTTTAGTTTCTCGTATGTGTCAAGCTCAGCCTTGTACAATACCAATCAACAACTCATGAAGTCTGAAGCTCATCCCACTGAAACAATGGTGAGTGATGAGGTGGGACTTGATTCTCGGGCAAAGGCACCACCACTACCCGAGGGTGAAATGCACCTCAAAGTCTCTTGCTCGATTACCTCGATTCCCTAGAGTGAAACACAGCAGCTCCATATCCCTGTTGATCTGCAACACGAGCTAATGAGCTGAGCGGCACTACACAACAAGGTCAGGAAATCGAAGCAGTGGGAGAGATGTGTAAATTAGGCTGATCTCCCCAGACGCTCCGTCGGACAAAGGCACACGTATGGAGATCTATATGGGATGCTAATTAAAAACTTCAGAATATTAAAATGCATATAAAATAGCGATCTTAGCTAAATGTTCTAAATTTAAAGACCAGCCAGCTACACAGTCTGATTTACACAGCAGAAATGTTTGTTATAGCATCTGAAAGTGGTTGTATGTATCATTGTATGTATGTCATGCCCCCGTGTGTACCTTATTATTGATTAAATCCACTGACGGTGTATCCTATCATAGTCGAGGCGTAAAATTAAGGGGAGCAGACTGGCTGCGGTTGATACTGTCATTTCAAACTCAGCGTCTATCCATGAACCAACCTTTCACGGTGTATCGATGGGATTAAATGAATGAGACAGCACAGCACATACAGCTTGTTTCATCATCCTGCAGCGCACACTCAACCCTCGTCTATTTGCCTGTGCCTGAATTCTTGTTTCATCTGGTAGTGACTGATGGAGTTCATCTGTGCCACTTATGAGAAAGAAGAAGAAAAACATTTTGTTATAATGCTGTACATGCACCTTTGAGCTGTAAAACATGGCTGAACTTTTCATGTGCCAATATGTGGAATGTGAAACAAGCAAACTGCTTAGATTGAATCCCCAGTGGAAAGGGACAGCTTTTGTGAGACGCTTTATGGAATTTCATTTAACCAGACACAGAGGTGCACATATACACTTGTAACCACTTTGAGTCTGTCAATAGGTCTGCTCTTTGTAGCATCGGAGCATTTGAAACCTTAAATGCCAAATTCTGTGATTAAATCAATACGGAAACTAATCTTCAGCTGCTTCGGACCAAATGGTTTATAAATCCTGCTGCAATCCCCTAAGTAAGCACAGGAATTCATGAATGCTAAATGCATTTGGGTTTTCTCTCCTCTAACAATAGAGCAGCTTCGCTACTACCACCCCTCCTGCACTTATAGGACAACACTGCTGAGCTGGCACTTTAAATATGAATATCAAATGAGGCTTTTGAAATGGCATGAGCTGGGGTGGGCCCATTTAGCTACTGTGCAATCTACAATCTCCCTAACTGAGGAAATGCACTTATTTTGTGTGGTTGTTTGTGATTTGTGTTTTCAGGTTTTTGTGTTTGTACCATTTTACTTTTCAAAGGCATTCAGTATCACTGGACAAGATAAATAAGCGCAGCACTGGACAATAAAAGTAATCTTGGACAAAAGAGATTAACAGAAGAGGGTGTGAGCAGAGGACACACTAGAAACGAAGAGGCTGAAATCCCTGCTCCCAGCAGGAGCGCCGATACTGATATGCTCACAAGGCTGACAACAATAGGACTGAACATGAATCACCCTATTAGGTTGGTCAAACAGTCACCAAGGGTGTGTGTGAGCACAGATTCCCCTCTCTACTAAACCGCATGCACTGTGGCAACACAAAGGTCATTTGCTTTGATGATTGTTGGCTTTAGCATAGAGCTGATGGCAGAAGCCATACTCTAAATCCTTAACCACACCACCCAATACTGCTCTAATCTGCCCGATTCTCCCTCTACAGCTCAGACTATTCTAATCCTTTATAAGAAAGAGGACCAGATGGTCAAGAACAACTGCTGGACGGCCTTAGGTTGAGCACATCTATGGAGATGCCTGAAGTGCCTGCCAATGTTTACCTTGTGCTTCAAGTTACCACTGTAAGTCCTGTAGAGTGGATGGTGTATGGGTGGAGAGCATACTCTCAAGGAAAGCTGTCATGAGTGTGTATTAACACTGTATGTGTGCACACAGTCAGGAAGAAGAGACCCCTGCTGTACCTGGTGTTGCACCCCCTTTAGACCTAAGATGAGATGTCAAAGGTTCAGAGGCAAACCTCCTTATCAGCTGTAGTAATCTGGTGATACCTGGAGTGTCAAGGGTAGAGCAGCACAGCCTCAGGGGTGACAAGATACAGAATAACATGCCACTCTCACCCTCCCTTCCTCTGTCCTGGTGGGCTGAGGCACCCCATCCTAACCTCTTACTGATGAGCAAACCCTTTATTCCCAGCTCTGCTATCCTTCTACAAGGTGCACTAGAATCAAATATACTAGTCAAACAGCTGACAATGAGCTTCAAGCCATCATAAGCTGATCTACTGAGACCCACAGACACATGCTGCATCCTAACCCCCTCCATTGCCCCACTCTTTTCCCAGGGGACACTGAAGTAACTGTCATTAAAATAATCTAGTGGTGGGAAGAAGAGTATCAGTCTGGAGGAACAGAATGAAATGTGAGCAGTGGGTACCCATTAACATGAAAATTATCAGAGTAAAAATTCAATTACTGCACAGCAGGGGATGTGAGGAGAATATTGCCTGCACATTCTCAGGAAGGAGCCTCTGTCTGTGGAGGTGGTTTAGGTGATTCGACTTGCTGAATTTCACTGATCAATCTTGAGCCCATGACAGCAGGGTGCCAGTGGTTTTCTATTTGAAAGAAGATTAGGGGAACAGGTGTTGCTTACATTGAAGATGTGTCGAAGGTTTGAGCTTTTCTGAACTACTGTCATCAACAACTGTCCACTACGGCTCTTCATTTTCAGGTCATCCCTTTTTATGCATTATACAGTACAGCCCTTTCTGAAGGTATAAGAACACATTATGCTTTATCGTACATGTTCAGTCTCATTTAACTGGTGTCCTCTTGTAGCCTCAAAGCTGCACCAAATGATTATGTTTAGCCATTTGGACTTTTGTCCCTCCATGAACAACACATGTAAAAAGTAGCAATTTGTATGACATTATATTATCTTTTTCAGGTTAGTATTTAAACAATTTGCTTATTTTATTTTTGATTCAAAAACCTCATTTACCTTTGGTCCATCATTTAAATGGCTGGCAATCAATTTAGGAAATTGCTTAAAAAGTAGTGACCTGAGCACCTGCACTCGCACACTGAGTTCAAAAGAGATAAGTCAATGTCTGCATTAAAGAATCCGTCAGCTAAGCTTTTCTGACCTTTCATTCCCTTAAACAAACATTTACACCGGTGCAAGACACACTGAAGAGCTGCTGAGCCATTTGTATGTCTTTGGCAATCACTCTCGCCTTTGCCTCTGTGGAATGGGTAATTATATGAGGATTATATGGAGCCATCAACCTGAAGCAGCAGCGACCTTCTCTGCTTCTGGCCACTAGCATTACTGTCCATTTTCATACATGGAGGTAGATGCTGAGACAGATTTTGTGTGGTGCATGTGTATGTGTGTGTGTTCTCAGCTGGGCTCCAGCTAATGTCCACTCAATTGCCTCCAGTGTGCCCCAGTTAGCAGGGCTCCCCAGCCCAGTGACATGGTGGGCTGTGGTTGGTAGAGACCACTGTGTTGGGATGTTTTTACGCTTTATGCTTCGCTTCATCCTCACAAAAGATTTGGCCCAATAACCGATAAGCCCTATAATCCATTCCGTAAACATTCAGGGGATGGCCACTTTTACAACAAATGCCCATACATCAGTGCACAGTGGAGCTTGCCACACGCTGGCCATGCTTCTCTGGATGAAGTTTATCTGAGAATAAATTTGGCATGGACTATTACACCTGGATTTTTTTTTTCTATTATCATTGTAACTATATTCAGATAATTACAACAATTTGGATGACTGATCACAGCTTTACCCAAGAGCAAAAATCTTTGATTAAAAGAGTAAAAAACTAAATAAAATTAAGCACACAAATCAAGAATCACATTTCCTCAAGAATCAACTGAAAGTCTCACTGACCACATCAGCTCATATCCTGTAAAGGTATATCCTAGTTGACCTGCATACAAAAAGCAGTGCTTGAACTTTAGTGTTTACTGTAAATCATCTGAGTGACCATAATGAACCCGTGTTACCCTTATCACCATGACCCAGCCCCCCACCGGCAACATACAAAAGGAGACCTGGTGAAATACCACTGATTCTATCATGACATCCAGGAATAGCAACATGCACAGAGAGGAGTAGGCATTTCACAGATGTAATAATTAGAAACACAGGACTCCACTGACAACTTTGCCATAATGTTTCCTGATTAACATAAAAAAAAAAAAAACTTAACACACACTGATCTTTCACAATGGTTATAATAGACAAGAGTACAGTAATATTATAGTGCTTAGTTATCGAAGTCAGATCGACTCTTTAACCATCACCTTTACATGTTTTAGTCACTGACATTGACTACATCAATGTGACCGAGTACTGTATGATGAGAAAAACGTACAAAATAACGAGCCACTTACCCAGAAGATGAGATTGAAAATGAACATCATGTACTTCAAGCAGCAGAGGCAGCCTCTTGCCATGTTGCACTTCTTGAATTCTAAAAGGAACACAAAGGATAGATCCAGGTAAAAGACTACGTATTTGCTGCCTTTGGGTGAGCTGTACTTGTTGTTGCTCTTGTCTCCTGTGCTGCTGTCAGCTGCCGCTCCAGCCTGCGGCTGCCCCGCGTTTTTTCGCGGGCCCCGCGGGGCGGAGGA